GAGGGAGAGTGGAGATGGGGAGGGAGAGTGGAGATGGCAGGAAGGGGAGGGAGAGTATCGGGCGCCAGAGAATCGGGAGCGGAGTTTGGGGGAGTCGAGCGTCGGGGAGTACAGTACGGTACAGTACGTAGCGGCGCGTAGGAGAGGGAGCAGAGTGGACAGTGAGCACAAGAGAGTAGAGAGAGTAATGAGACAGTAGAGTAATGAGACAAGAGTAATGAGACAGTAGAGTAATGAGACAGTAGGGTAATGAGACAGTAGGGAGACAGTAGAGTAATGAGACAGTAGAGTAATGAGACAGTAGAGTAATGAGACAGTAATGAGACAGTAGAGTAATGAGACAGTAGAGTAATGAGACAGTAGAGTAATGAGACAGTAGAGTAATGAGACAGTAATGAGACAGTAATGAGACAGTAATGTAATGAGACAGTAGAGTAATGAGACAGTAGAGTAAGAGTAATGTAATGAGACAGTAGAGTAATGAGACAGTAGAGTAATGAGACAGTAGAGTAATGAGACAGTAGAGTTGGGAGACAGTAGAGTAATGAGACAGTAGAGTAACATTAATGTAATGAGACAGTAGAGTAAGAGTAATGTAATGAGACAGGAGAGTAAGATTAATGTAATGAGACAGGAGAGTAAGATTAATGTAATGAGAGGGTAGGGAGAGCGAGGCGACCCACCCTGGTTTCTCTCTGAGATCGGCCCGGCCGCCATTCTGCTCCGCGAGGCCCGAGTCGCACTCTGCGCACGCGCGGGGGGTCGGGGGTCGCGTGACGCGTGCGACGTCACGGCGTACGCGACGTAACGACGTCACGGCGTGCCGATGCGTGATGGCGTCATCGCGTTTTTATAATTATTTCGCGGGCAGTCCTCGACTTACGTACAGGTTCCGTTCCCGCGGCACGTTTCGTGAGCCGATCAGTTCGTAAGTGGGAACACAACAACGGGGCGCGCACACAGTCATCGACTTACGAACGCGCGCCTGACGAACAGCCCGCGCTTACGAACCAGCTTCCATGAAATCCGTAGCTTTTTAATTACATTGCCTTCAAACGCAAAACTCCTCCTTGCAACCTGAACCGCGGAACTATTTTGTCCAGGGGAGCGATCCTCCGCGACATGGACTGAGTCGTGCTGGGAGTGAGTGTGCACGTGTGTGTGTGTTTGTGCACGTGTGTGTGTTTGTGCACGTGTGTATTTGTGCACGTGTGTTTGTTCACGCGCGTGCACATGGGTGCACGCGCACACACACTATTTCACACACACAATTTCACACACACGTGCACGCGTACACACAAACACTCAGCAATTATTTTCTTAGCCACACGGTGGCAGCAGCAACAGCAGTGTGATTCAGGAGCTCGATATCAAATGTCGAGTTCTGCTGCTGGCCACGATGAGAAGGGCTTCAGCAGAGAGAGTTTTGTGTCGTTTTGCTGTTCCTCCTCCTGTATTGAAGGAGCGCAGGCTACAGTGGTTTACTGTGTGGCCCACAGTTTGGGTTGCATGGCCACAGCCGCACTAATGTGGCTTGTGTCTTTAACGCATCTCTCTGTCGCTGTGTCTATATCTGTCTCTGGGTCTCTACGAGTCTTTGTGTCTCTATGGGTTTACTATATGGCCCATAGTTTGGGTTGCATGGCCACAGTTGCACTCCTGTGGTTTTGTCTTTAATGCACCTCGATGTATCTTCGAGTCCGTCTCAGTGTGTCTATCGGTCGCTATGTATCTCTGTGAGTCTCCAGCTCCGTGTGTCTCCATGTATCGCGGCCTGTGGGTGAGCGGGTGAGTGAATGTGTGGTTGAGTCGTTTTGGTACACCAGTGTCGTGGGGGAGTAATTTCAAAGCCAGGAGAATGTTCAATGTTTGGGTCTGGAGCGAGGTGTTTATTCTGAATCGTCCATCATCAACAGCCGTGGTCACTCCACTGCTTGATGAAGGCCTTCCCCCACACCGTCACCAACTTTCACGATCATGCGAGGCCACAATTGTTCTCTCTGAACGTTGTCATAACTCTCCGAATCATGGGACCTCCCTTGCCAGTATCAAAATATAATCATGTTTTACCCTTTCTGGAAATAAAATAGGCATTAAGATTTAAAAACACCAAACTGAAACCTTTTGCAAGGAATCATGTCTGCATTAACCACAGATATTTGTGGTGAACATGCAAACGTAAAAAAAACATGCTCTGGTAATGTCTCAAACAGTGCGAGACCAGAGGACGCCAAAAGGCGAACAGCACAAAGACAATGCACTATCGGGGCAATGAGAGCCTATATTACCAGACAATGTTTTTTTTTTGCATGCTCACCATAGGTATATGTGGTTAATGCAGACATTATTCCTTGCAAAAGCTTTCCGTCTGGTGTTTTAACATCTTAACAGCTGTTTTATTGCCAGAAAGGGTAAAACCTATTCTTAGAACTCTCTGAATAACCACGTGATCTCTGGGACAACGTTGGCATGTGGTTTTGACGAACATTTGCAATCGGTAATTGCCCCAGGAACACGGCTTATTTTGTGTAACCACCTGTGTCCAACCGTTATTTTATTTTTATTAGAACAATTAATGTTCGTGGCTCTTACAAAACAAAGGGTGCAGAATTGGATTCAAGATAACCAGATAAACATAATCATTTATCCAACTTCACAATCAATTATTTCCTGCAAACGGATCGTGTCAGCGAATCTGAGCTGGTTAATGTTTTGTCCATTTACGTATGTTTGCCTCTTATTTCCCAAATCCAATATTAAGGACAAACATCTCATGTCCCTTTGAACAGCAGCCTGTCATGTACTGTCAGTTTATCTGTTCCAGCTCTATTATGGCTTTGGCAATTCCTTTATGCTTTATTAAATAATACATTACATTTCCCAAAGTGCCTTTCTACTCGGCACGCAAGGCACTGCACATCACTAAATATATCACAGGCCAAGGGGAAGCAAAACTAAGGAGAAATAAACAGCGGCTAATCGAGAGAACCAAAGGCGAGAGAGAATAAATGGGTGGCGAGGAAGGGGGTTTAAACCGCAGTGCCGTTGTCATCTGATTGCGCGAGCAGCACCGGGCGAGGCGTTCGCTCCACGGCCGGCGAGTAGCGCAGCAGCAGGAGGAGGCACGGTCACCCGGAGTCTGCACAGGGGAAGCCGGCTCCGAGGAACGCACAGGGAGGCACCGGTCATCAAAGGACGAAGCCTTAGGAATGATGGCCAAACATACGGGGGCAGTCAGTAAATCTGAGATCACCTGCTATCCACTTTTTTGAGAGCCTTTAAAGGTCAAAAGGAGACCAGGTGAGAAATATTTGTGTGAAGACACCCATTGACTTGTGGGAGCTTGAGTGGCTGGAAAAGAACGGCGGTGATATCGACGATGTTCAACAAGGACGGACGCACCGATGAAGAGGGCGTCAGCAGACGGAAACGTGGAGGGGTCGGCCATCCCTTGGGCTTACACGTCTCCTATCGGTCACCACGTTGACAGCTTTGTGGTCAAGCACCGTTTCTACACAGATGACGTCCGACTCTTCGCCTCCATCGATTCCACAGACGCCTCTGCACTTCAGAGGCTCTCCGGAGTTCACCGCCAGCCTGCAGCAGTGGGCTCTGGACCCACGGTCTACCTTTGAATGTTTCCAAATCCGATGTCGTCCTGATTGGCACCACGCAGCGCCTCACCACATCCATGCTCCCTTTTAGAATTTCCATCGCTGGCTCCGGTCCACGCACCAGGTCTCCTGGGGTGAACTGCTTAGGTCTCAACGATGCGCATGCTGTCGTCCTCTTCTGCTGCGGAGAAAACTATCTTGCTCTTTGGTTCTATTCGGAAAAGTCACTTAGGTAAAAAATAAAACAACAAAAATCACGACGTTTCGGCCACAACACAAGCGGCCTTCATCAGGTGAAGGGACCAGGCTGTCTCGAGGACAGCGCTGGAGTGAGACAACCTGGTCCCTTCACCTGATGAAGGCCGCTTGTGTTGTGGCCGAAACGTGATTTTTGTTGTTTTATTTTTTACCTACGTGACTTTACCGAATAGAACCAAAGAGTATGGATCCTTGCAGTCACGAAAGCTTTAAATCTAGAAAACTATCTTGGTTGCCACTCTGACTGGATTTATATGAGGACGAAACAACCCCCTGTCCCTGGCCCCTCCTCCCTCTCGTGGCTGCTGCTTTCTGAACGAGTCCAGAGCTTTCTTTGATCATCCTCCTGAGCACACTGAAGCCCTGACACTGGGCTGGTATTCTGTTAACATGCTCTTTTAAATCTGTTCCTAGTTTGTATAAGGCTCTATACAGTATATCAAAAACAAATGGTCATTATTTCATATAAAAAAAATTTGTACAATATTTTCGATACCACCTACAATGTCGTTTTTTGTTTTTATGTGATTCAAATGTGGGTTATAAGATTCGTATTTGTATCATTGTACTTGATTGCTTTTGTCATTTCAGTGACCCCGGCCACTCTTGCAAATGAGACGAACATGGTCTCTTGATTCCCACCTGGTTAAACAAAACCAAAGCTGAACCCGGCAGTTCGCTGCTTAAACAATTGGCTGCTGCATATCGCCAACTTGCCGAACGTACTGAAGCGTCAGGCTGCCAATGTCGAAACCCCTTTACCACACATGGATTTGAAAAGACGAGCTGTAACACTCTGCAACGTCGTTTAGAAATGACATCGCGGCAATGTTTGGTATACAGCAAAAGGGTTTCAACATCGACAGCCGACCAATGAAATTGGCTGGGTTGCAGTCGCATAACGAGCGTCGGGGGGCAGGCCCCGTTGACAACCACCATGAGATTTGTCTTCAACAACAGTTTCAAAGAACAACTGATTTAAAACGGGGTTTACATTTTTAAAAAATTAAAATGCTTTCATTTACGTTCCACGTTTTATTTTAATTTAGTTAGCGCAGGAACGTTTGATGACTGTGCGAGACAAATCCAATATTGGGGCCCCACCTGACCGATTGCCGCACCCCCCCCCCCCCCCCCGAGCTGATAATGTCGTCACTACGCCACTGCTGGGTTGGCAAAGAAGAATATTTCTTTGAAGAGCCCAGACGCCAGGAATCACTCTCAGGTGCCGGGAATCACGCTCCCAGACGCCGGGAATCACGCTCCCAGAGGCAGGGAATCATGCTCTCAAACGCCGGGAATCCCACTCCCAGAGGCAGGGAATCACGCTCCCAGACGCTGGGAATCACGCTCCCAGACGCCGGGATTCACGCTCCCAGACGCTGGGAATCACGCTCCCAGACGCCGGGAATCACGCTCCTAGACGCTGGGAATCACGCTCCTAGACGCTGGGAATGACCTCCCAGACGCTGGGAATCACGCTCCCAGACGCCGGGAATCACGCTCCTAGACGCTGGGAATCACGCTCCTAGACGCTGGGAATGACCTCCCAGACGCTGGGAATCACGCTCACAGAAGCGGATAAGCTGGAAGATTGCTTGGAACCGGGACAGACACAGTTGGAAGTTGGCCATCTACGAGCTGCCAGCGTGTGCGGCGCTAAGCCAAGTTAAGCCATTGAGATTTCTTAGTTCCATCGCGCGAAACGCACCGCAGCAGACCAACATCCGTGCTTTAACGCAGGTTTTTGTTCTGGAGAAAGGAAACAAAACAAGCCAAACCAGCCAATCCTTTCTCAAAACCTGCACAGCTGCTCGTTCTTCCACAGTTACCCACCTGGGTCACACACCTGGCATCCCCTGTGAGGCCCGCACACGTGTGTGGCCAAAGTGGAGGAGAGGCGGAGTCGCGTGTCGTGCAGGGTTGTCTCGCTCTCGGTCTCGGTGTCTCGCACACAGTCTCGGTGTCTCTATTTACAACCTCAGCAGGAACGTGTGCAGGGTTCCACCTCTGGGGAACCCAGCAAGCGCAGGGAGAGGCCTCCAGCGTTCCGCCTCGATGGCGTAGGGCATCGCAATCATGCGGTTGAGCGTGAACACTCGGTCGCCCTTCACGACCGAGGAGAACAGCGCGCCCTTGCTGTTCATGTACTGCCCGGCCAGCGTCGTCCACGCCGCGCTGCTGATATTGTAGCGGTCGATGGCGCAGTGCAGGAAGTCGTCATAGGGCCCGTTGCGGATCACGTAGAGGTTGTCCCTGTGGGCCACCATGCAGTGGCCGTAGCTCTGCGGCTTAACGAGCGTGGCCAGGCGGCGCCAGCCCTCGCCGTCCGCGTCCAGCTCCGAGATGGTGGTGGTGTCGAGCGGCTTCCACAGGCACACGAAGGCGCGGCCCAGCGTCGTGGCGCAAGCCGCCCCGGCGGCCGCCTGGGGGAGCGGCGCGCAGGGCGACCACTCCTCGGCGCGCTCGTCGAAGCTCTCCACCGTCGCCAGCTTGATGCCGCCGTACTCGCCGCCGATCGCCAGCAGGCGGTCCCGGTGGGCCAGCAGCGCGAGGTTGTAGCGCGGCTGGTTGGGGCCGGCGAGCTCCCGCCACGCCCTCCGGAGCGGGTCGTAGCAGAAGGTCGTCTCCACGGGGTCGCGTTCCATCCCGCGGATCCCGCCGACCAGGTACAGCTTGTTGTTTAGCACGGCGATACCCGCCAGCGCCGAGCTCGCGCTGCAGGGAAGGGCCGTGACCACCTCCCAGCGGTTGTGGACTTCGTCCAGGCAGCAGACGGTGCGCGACTTGTCGTCCAGGTAGGCGTTCGACGAGGAATACGTGCCGACCGCCGACAGGCGGCTCGGCTGCAGCGCGGACACGTGAAGCCGCTGCTCCTCGGACAGGAGGCTCAACCTGCTCACGAAGCGCGGCTCGTCGAGCACGTCCCGCACAAAGTGAGCGGCGCAGCGGCGCACCCGCTCAACGCCGTACTCGCTGGCGGCGACGAGCATCTCCACGCAGTTGTCCGAATCTACCGCCGCACTCAGGTACGCGACCAGGGCGCTCACCTGCAGGAAGCCGGCGGCCTCCACCGCGTCGACGACGTCGTCGACTCGGAGAGGCGTGGCGTCGTCGTCGTCCAGAACTCGCAGCATGATGGAGAAACCGTTTGCGGTGATGCATCCGGTTATTTCCAGCTCGTCGCGGTGGCACTCGCGCATTCCGGACCGGAAGAGCGCGCCAAAGTAGTCGCAGTGCTCGGCCATGCGGCTCCGGTTGACCTCGAACCTGACCCCTTCCACCGTGACCCGCAGGTCGCGCGTCGGCGACGGCTTGCTCATTATTGCACCGCTCGGTTCACTGCCGCCGCCACCACCCCGATCGTGAAGCCACCCCGGTCATCGTGCCACCCCTCTCCTCTCACCACCCCAATCATCGCGCCACACGACTCGTAGCACCGCCCCCTCTCATCGCGCCACCTGGCTTATGGCACCACCACGATCATCGGCATGAGCTTCCACGAGCTGGGGGCACGTGCTGGCCGACCGCTGGACTCTCGCGCTTGACCTGCTGCTGTTCTGTGCATCGGTGAGCCGCAAGCCCTGCGCTATGAATAGCACGCATATATATAGCCGCCAATGTGCTGGAAGCACTCGAATTACCACCCACAGCCCTGCCTACACCCTACACTAACAACATTGACATTACTTAATACCCAGCTGATGCACTGATGTTCCACTTAAAGTGTAAGGTCGAGACAGATTTTGTTAAGGGCTTCATCCAGCACTGGATTGATCAAGGCTGATGATGATGAAATGTAAGGATTCAGTGGTTTTTTGAAAATCTCAAATATACTTTATTTAATGATTCGAGAGCTTATTTAAAATATTGCAATTAAATCTGCGAAACAGATTACATTTTACATCGTAATGCGACACGAGAGACCAGACTATGAGCAGTAAGTAACTGAAACAGAAGAGATGGTAACAGATCGGCAGCACCCATGCATGCCCATCAGAGAACACAGGCACGGCTTTGCACTCTTGAGTGCTTAAACGGAATAAATAATCTCTGGATCTGAAAACATGGAGCCTGCCAAAGACCTTGCTGGATATAACTGACAAGAATACTTCGTAAAATGTAACAACTAAAAATAACAATTAAACCATAAATACACTTAGGCATGCCAAGAAATATTCCTTGTCTCCGATGCGTTTTCTGGTTGCACCGCACGTTGTTCGGAATGGTGTTCAATGTCTCGCGCTGGGAGCTTGTTCAGCAACCGCTTTCGAAGCTCTTGGCGGAGCGAAACGTCGGGGACACCGTTCCGACCAACGCGCGGTACAACTAGAAAAAAAAACACATATCGTAGAGCTACACACACAGTTTAACCGTGGAAACCTAGGCAGTGCAATAACCGCTAATCTGTTTTTTTATGGATATCGCACGTGGAAGCGCCAAGCGCTGTCAAGCCGAAGGAATGCTGGGCCTCTTAAGGTCTGGGCGCCGAAAGAAGTTTTCTTGCTGGTAGGCCTTGTACTCCGCCAAGTCCAGCTGACTCGAGGCCATCCTGATGTCGTTGTGAATGGCGTCAATGAGGTCGTCTGTTGGGAAACATAAACATTTGCCATGCTCGTGTCAACGCTCGCGTCAACGCTCGCGCAGCGGCAGTCTTAGCGCAACGCAAGCAAGACAGCCAGGAACACGGGCACTCTCGCGACAGCTCGTTGGGGCGCAGCAGCCGAGATTTTAACAGATTAGACATTGCGACTGCAGTAATGGGATCGTAGAGATTAGGAGGTCGTGGGGGTGCGACTGTAAGGGTGAGGCTTGTAAAGTTAAGCTGGGGTGATTCGTCGACAATCGACTGAAACTTTAAATCGCCTCCTTTTTTTCACGGCCAATTATTTGGAGGCCCCCGTGGAAATGACGGGAAAGCCCTCTAGGGGCCACGCCCGGCGTGACGTGGATGATGTTTTTGTTCTACAAGAGCTCGGTAAAAGGCACGAAACATAAGCAGGGGGGTGGGGGGTACAGAAATTCTGTGGACCGAAGTCCGAACTCAGTGCTCCTGAGTATTATCTGGTAACAAATAACCAGATAATACGTATCCTCCTTCTCATATCCGTCTTTCGCCACATAAAATACACAAGTATTTCCTACAGCCACGCATAATATCAGCAGCATCGTTTCAAGCCAAGAAAACTGTGGACCAGTTTCGACACACAGTGTCTCATCAGCAAAGGGGCTTGCTCGAATAAACGCTAGTAAACTGCCTATTTTACAAGCTCCGGGGTCCAAGTGATTCGAAGCAAAATTATAAAATTACACCCCAATCCGAGCGTCTGTAAGGAGGAGGCCGAGCAGGCGGTCGAGGCCGGGGGTCGTTGGAGCGCGCAGGCAGCGCAAGTCGACGTCACCAACGATGACCTCGGCCAACGCCGTGCCTGGCTCCACCGCCCAACAACCCCGCATCATCACCACCACACTGTCCCTACCGAGTGTCCCCTCGTGCAATGAGAACTCCCGACATGGACCGGCAATATGCACCACTTATTACCCTTAAGTGTGTAACTGTGCCGTGATCTTCACGCGTGGTGCTTTAGCTGCTCTCTTCCAAATTCTTGATGCTGTATAAACGTATTTGACACTGTATACATGCGTACTGTACAAGCTGTAGATTTTGACGTGTGTGCGTCCACGTGTTGTTGACAGCCTGGACGCCCTTGCAAACGCGATGCTCCCTCTCAAGCGATAATCCAGCTAAGGTATTTAACGAATAAGCAAGTCAAAACGTCAGAGTTCTGGCTCAAATTAATATTGAGGCATTGGTGCTTAACACCTGTTCACACCCCCGAGCATAGCGGGGGCAAGTCTATCTATATGGGAACCACTGTTGACTTTGCCATAAGAGTGGCACTATTTTTTTTATTAACAGACAATTTAATTTCTAAATCAATGGTAAATAACCCAGGCCTCCAACAACAACAGCCGCTATTTGCCACTAAGTGGTGGTGACGTCACCACTGTGCTTGTGCCAGGCCAGGTGCACGCCTGAGATCACGTGAAGTGTCGAAGACTCGCTGGCAGGGCACGGGACAGACTCAGGTGTCGTGGGTTGACTGACTGAGATGACTGGCCGATGCACCACCTCAGACCCAGTGGCCTCCCTACCCCCACGCCCCCCCCCCCTACACACAGAGGAGGATCTCTCACTGTCGCACCCAGGGAGTCGAATCCTCTCTCCACACGGATGTAACCAAGGATCACAATGCTCAGCACCTCGCCGTAGAAGTCCTCCTCAAAGGAGTGGATGATGTGCACCTCCTGCGACACAGGAAAATATACACACGCGTAAGGTCAAAAGTGCAGCCCTGCAATTTCTTGACTAAAGTCACTGCTGGTGGAAGGGCCTCCACTAGAGGCAACTCCACAGAGCACCACTAAAGGGTATTTTTGCCTCCTCTGACAGTCTTCGAAGAGGTAGGAAGGACCAACACTTTGCCCCACAACACCTGAGCATTGACCGGTAGCGCCACGAGGTGGAATCGAACCTGCGACCGCTGAATTGCAAGTCGAACATTCTCACCGTTGCACCCTAGCAGCATTGATGATGAACTAAGATGATGTATGTAACAAACACGCGTGTGCCACGTGTAATTACGGGGCGTGGAGGGAGATGCGGCGAATGCCAGAACGATCCAATAGACGAATCGCTTGAGCGAGGGAGGGGACGTGCTCAGAGGCTGCTGCTCACCATGGACTTCTTAGTGTTATTATAGAACGGGTTCCAGCCGATGCTCATCACCATCTTGTGCACGTCGCCACTGCCCACGCACGCCCAGCCGAAGTAAATCCCCGTGGCCACGTCCGCCGGGAGCTGCTCCAACACCGACTCGGGGAGGTTCGCTGCGAGGTGACGAGATGAGCAAGGGATCTTTGAGCAGATTCATCACGACAACAATAATAACAATAGCAACTCAACCGGAGCAGCCAACCCACGTGAATCCCGCAGTTACTCAACACCCCAACTCAGCACCCCCAACACTGCACACGAACCTAACAGCCACTCAACACCCTCTAAATGCCCAACGAGGTGGCATCATGCCCCACGAACGCCCCGCAGTCACAGAGCGACTGTGGATATAAACCCTGTCACAACACCCTAACCAATATGCCCAATACCCCAAAGCATGACGTTAACACCCCAATGCAACAACCCGAACTCAACAGCCCAAAACACTGGCCTAACACCCCAATACAACCGACTAACCACTCGCGCAACATCTCAAAACACTAAACCACTCTACACTCACTCATTGTTTTTTTCGGTAAAGTCACGTATGTAGAAACACAATAAAATTATATTAAAATAAATCACAACGTTTCGACCGCAACACAAGCGATCATCATCAGTTGTAAAAAACAAATAGCGAGGGAGCACATAGGGTGACATCAACGCAACACATAGAGAGCGTTAAACTGAACGGAGGTAAATACAAGAAGATGAGAGACGAGAATTCAACAGACCTAAGAAAAAAATGATGTGATGCAAAACCAGTCAGGCCAACAACAAAGTTAGACACTTGCCTGGCGGACCACGAATTTCAGAAGACTGCTAAATTTCGTGTTCATCCTCTGGGTTGAACACACCAGCATGGACAGAGTGAACAAATACGAGGTACAAGGTAGCAGAAATACATGTATACAGGGACACCTAGAGGCAAGGAGAGGAAAGACGGACAGAGAAACAATAAAAAGGGCCGAAGGGATGAACAGACAGGAGGCTTAAACAAGCAGCAGAGGTGGGAGAGGGAGCGAGGACAGCAAGGGGCGCGGGCGGAAACGGACGGAAGCATAGAGACAAACACAAACCACGGTAAACAAAAACCAAAAACGAAGCACAGTAAACCAAAAACGAAGCACATTGAAGCACTTCGAAGAACAGACAACACAGGGCAATACGCTTAGGACAGAATTGTAAAGGTAACTTCCCCGTAGAAGTGGGTTAATAAAGAATTAAAGCTTTCGTGACTGCATAAATTACTCATTGTTTTTTTTTCCGGTAAAGTCACGTATATAGAAATACCATAAAATTATATTAAAATAAATCACTCTACGCTCAACTCAGTAATCCAACGCTTCGTCATGCAACACAATACGTTAGCAGCCCAACCCGACACCTTGACAAGAACCCCTGTACCCAAACAATGACCACAACACTCTATTCCAGTGTTCGTCACTCATTGTCAGAGAGGGGGGGGGGGACACTTCCGCCGATAAGACATCATCAGTGTGAGGGCCCCCACACGTTTGAAACCACTGGGGTTTGACAGCAGCAGCAGCACGATGATGTTGGGGGTGTTTTCACATCGGCTGTGTATTGGTGTCGGGGGCCGCACGCCAGGGGCCGCCAGTGGCCCGCGGGCCTTGCCATGAAGACCGACGCCGCTCTATTCGCATCAACCTTACCCCTATGCACCCCAAGCTAAGCCCCCTAAACCAAGCACTCTCACCGCTAAACCAATCCGAAAGGCTCCCCTACCCCTGCGTCCCCCTACCCCTGCGTCCCCCTACCCCTGGGTCCCCCTACCCCTGCGTCCCCCTACCCCTGCGTCCCCCTGCCCCTGGGTCCCCCTACCCGTGAGTCCCCTTACTCATGGATCCTCTACCCGTGGATCCCCCGACCAGTGAACCCCCCACCCGTGAGCTCCCCGCCCGTGATCTTGCCTACCCCTGGGTCCCCCTACCCCTGGGTCCCCTCTTACCCCTGGGTCCCCCTACCCGTGGGCCCCCCTACCCGTGTGCCCCCTCTTACCCCTGGGTCCCCCTACCCCTGGGTCCCCTCTTACCCCTGGGTCCCCCTACCCGTGGGTCCCCCTACCCGTGGGTCCCCTCTTACCCCTGGGTCCCCTCTTACCCCTGGGTCCCCTCTTACCCCTAGGTCCCCCTACCCCTGGGTCCCCTCTTACCCCTGGGTCCCCTCTTACCCCTGGGTCCCCTCTTACCCCTGGGTCCCCCTACCCGTGGGTCCCCCTACTCGTGGGTCCCCTCTTACCCCTGGGTCCCCCTACCCGTGGGCCCCCCTACCGGTGTGCCCCCCTCTTACCCCTGGGTCCCCCTACCCCTGGGTCTCCCTACCCGTGGGCCCCCCTACCCGTGGGCCCCCCTACCCGTGTGCCCCCCTCTTACCCCTGGGTCCCCCTACCCCTGGGTCCCCTCTTACCCGTGGGCCCCCCTACCCCTGGGCCCCCCTACCCGTGGGTCCCCCTACCCGTGTGGCCCCCTCTTACTCCTGGGTCCCCCTACCCCTGGGTCCCCCTACCCGTGTGCCCCCACTTACCCCTGGGTCCCCCTACCCCTGGGTCCCCCTACCCGTGTGCCCCCCTACCCCTGGGCCCCCCTACCCCTGGGCCCCCCTACCCCTGGGCCCCCCTACCCGTGTGCCCCCCCTCTTACCCGTGGGTATGCCGAGCTGCTTGCTGCCTCTGCCGAACCCCTTAACCACCTTGCCGCGGCACCAGTACGGGAGGCTCTTCATGGCACCGCGACCCCTGGGGAGAGCGGCGAGGTCAGCTCCGAGGTGTAAGGATGGGGGGGGGAGGTCAAGCGCGAGGTCACGGGGTGCAGGGGTCACGGTAAAGAGGTCACAGGACGCGATGTCGCCGCCGAGTCACGCACGGGGGAGGAGTCACGGGAACCCGGGGCGTCACGTGGGTCACGGCGCGCCACTTCCTGTAAAGAGCGCCACCCGGAAGCGGAAGTTAGGGGGGACGGAGCGCGGGATTCCTGACGTCATTCACGATGGCGGTGAGGACGGAGAGGGAGACGTGGGGACAGAGAGGGAGACGTGGGGACGGAGAGGGAGACGTGGGGACGGAGAGGGAGACGTGGGGACGGAGAGGGAGACGTGGGGACGGAGAGGGAGACGTGGGGACGGAGAGGGAGACGTGGGGACAGAGAGGGAGACGTGGGGACAGCGGGAGACGTGGGGACAGAGAGGGAGACGTGGGGACAGAGAGGGAGACGTGGGGACAGAGGGAGACGTCGGGACAGAGCGGGAGACGTGGGGACAGAGCGGGAGACGTGGGGACAGCGGGAGACGTGGGGACAGAGAGAGACGTGGGGACAGAGCGGGAGACGTGGGGACGGAGAGAGAGACGTGGGGACGGAGAGGGAGACGTGGGGACGGAGCGGGAGACGTGAGGACAGCGGGAGACGTGGGGACAGAGAGGGAGACGTGGGGACAGAGAGGGAGACGTGGGGACAGAGAGGGAGACGTGGGGACAGAGAGAGAGAGAGACGTGGGGACAGAGCGGGAGACGTGGGGACAGAGCGGGAGACGTGGGGACAGAGGGAGACGTGGGGACAGAGCGGGAGACGTGGGGACAGAGCGGGAGACGTGGGGACAGAGAGAGACGTGGGGACGGAGAGGGAGACGTGGGGACAGAGAGAGACGTGGGGACAGAGCGGGAGACGTGGGGACAGAGCGGGAGACGTGGGAACAGAGAGGGAGACGAGGGGACAGAAAGACGGGGGGACAGCGGGAGACGTGGGGACAGAGAGGGAGACGTGGGGACAGAGAGGGAGACGTGGGGACAGAGAGGGAGACGTGGGGACAGAGAGGGAGACGTGGGGACAGAGAGGGAGACGTGGGGACAGAGAGGGAGACGTGGGGACAGAGAGGGAGACGTGGGGACAGAGCGGGAGACGTGGGGACAGAGCGGGAGACGTGGGGACAGAGCGGGAGACGTGGGGACAGAGCTGGAGACGTGGGGACAGAAAGACGGGGGGACAGAGAGGGAGACGTGGGGACAGAAAGACGGGGGGACAGCGGGAGACGTGGGGACAGAGAGGGAGGCGTGGGGACAGAGAGGGAGGCGTGGGGACAGAGAGGGAGACGTGGGGACAGAGAGAGAGACGTGGGGACGGAGAGACATGGGGAGGGAGAGATACACGCGGGGACACGGTGGAAGCGCGGTGACAGAGACGCGGGTCGACGCGGAGATAGGGACACACGGGGAGAACACAGGGACACACGGGCACACATGGGGACAGAGAGACACTGGGGCGGTGTGGGAGGGGGGAGTCGCGTGGAGACAGGGACGTCTCCATGTCCCCGTGTTAACGTCCATTCGGGCATGTAAAGAGGAAGACGTTGAGTACTGGAGACCTGTAGTAATGTGGGAGTAGGGATACGTGGACGTGCGCATCTCGGAACCCGTAGACACTGGTGCATGACGACACGGGGATATGGGAACATGGACACGTGGGGGGTCTGGGGACATTGGTACATTGCGATGTGTAGTACTGCATTGTAATGGGGAGCGTGGTTGCCTGCTTACATCGGACAGGGGTGTACATGGAGGCATGGGAACTTAGGGTCCAGCATCGAGGCATGAGGACCTTGAGCCAGTGAGACCTGGGAAGATAGATCGAGAGTTCTGAATACATGGGGGCATTGCCATAGGGAGAATGTTACTAATGGGGAGTTGCGGGCATGGTAAAATGAAACATGGCTACATGGGTTAATTTGTGGACGTGGGGTAATGTGGACCGAGGGACCCGAAGACAGAGGAGGGGCATAGAGACATTGGGGGAATGGGACCATGGGGACACGGAGACCTTGTGATCATGGGGATGTAGATGCATGGGAACGTGGAGACACGATAAGGGACCACAACATGGAGAACATGGGGGGCACGCTGGAGACATGGGTTACGCATCGTGGTGGAACTTTGGATACGGGAGGGGGGGGGCTGGAAGGGATCTCCGCGAGCGGCGAGCCTAACCGCGCTCAGGGGGTGACGTCGCGTGCTTTGGGTGTCCTCAGGACAAGGAGAAGAAAAAGAAGGAGAGCATCTTTGACCTGTCCAAGTACCTGGACAAGAGCATTCGCGTCAAGTTCCAGGGCGGCAGGGAAGGTGCGTGCGTGTGGGTGCGTGGGCGTCCCCCCCACGCCGCCGCTGTCTCGCTGGGATGACGCTGGTCTCGGCGTAATCGCGGCACGTAATGTTGGAGTTCGCTTACTGGTTTGTTGAATGGGAAAAAAAAAAACAAACTCGATGCGTTCGTCAATAACGCTGTGGCCTCAAAATAAAATATATAATACATAGGCGACGTTTCAGGCAATGGCCCTTAATAGCACATAGATCAGAGCGATAGTGGATAAGGGGTTGAAGACATCACTTTCTAACACCTGGGCTCAAATGAGAATTGTTATTTTTTTGTATTTCTCTTTTGCCACTTATACAAAATGTTGTTGCTAGGTAAACACGAAGAGTTGCTAGATTACGTGATTTGGTGATGCTGCTTATAATAACAGTGGTGCACAACCACAACAAAGAAACTCAACACATTTACCACTTACACCGTGGCCTTTACAGGAAAATTATATAATAAGCGACGTTTCAAGCAATGGCCCTTATTCATGTGCTATTGCACGGAACGTCAACGGGTATATATATTTTTGTTATTTTAAGGCATTGTCATTGGCAGAGTCACTTGATCTTGTGACAATCGCCAAGTTGCCAACACTGATAGGTGCTTCGGGTGTCTCCCCCCACAGCGAGTGGCATGCTCAAGGGATACGATCCGCTCCTCAACCTGGTGCTGGATGGCACTATCGAATATCTGCGAGGTGGGTAGCCCTGCGACACATCTTATTATTGCCATATGGGTTGTGCTAAGTGATTGTTGGTGCTGGTTAGTGATGTCGCAGTGGTAATGAATGTTGTTGAATAGTGATGGTGATGCAGGGCAGTGCTGCGGAATGGTAATTATATCGAGCCTGGGTGGTCTTGGTGGTGCTCAACATTTGTGACAAGTGGCGGTGGTGTAGTTGTGACGGTGGTGGGTGTCGTCGGTGCTGAGTGGTAGCGGTGTAGGGGGCTGGTGGCAACAGTGTTGCTCGGTGGTGCGGTGTTGTTGTTGGCGACGCACAGACCCGGATGACCAGTACAAGCTGACTGAGGACACGCGACCGCTGGGCCTCGTTGTGTGCCGCGGAACGTCCGTGGTGCTCATCTGTCCTCTGGACGGCATGGAGGCCATCCCCAACCCCTTCATACAACAGGACGGCTGACCTGGGGTCATCTCGGGCGACCCCTTGAGTAACCCATAGATGACCCCCACATCCTGCAAGCTCGGTCCATGTGCGATGGAGGCGTCATTTCTTAGCCGTCGTGGTGTCAGTCTTGCCCGTCGATGGGTAGCCCGCGGTGCGTTTTCATGGAAATAAATGAGACGGGGGACTGGTTTTGTAATAAAGTTGATTTTAATGTTTTTTTATACTTGCGAACCACCAAGTGTTGTTGGAATAGTCGTACTTTCCCCGAGTTACTCCTACCATTGTGGTTTTAATAAGGTAGCACTGTATCGTGAGCAAAACTCGCTACACCTCTAATAAAATACCTCCCACGTGGCTGCTGACTTTTAGTACATTTAGAGGGATCTGTACTTGTAATTGTAAACAAATAAAAATCTGAACCGTTTTTTAAGTCATTCAAACTCAACACAATTTGTCTATGTCACTGGGTGATGCTGAACAGTGTTTTTTTGGGACCGAACAATAAGTCTGAACAATAAGTCGGGAGTGTTTATAGCTCAACCCCAATGCTTTATTGCAGGGGTGGGGAACGTCCAGCCTGCGGCCCGTATAAGGCCCACGAAATAATTTGGTCTGGCCCTGCCAAGGCAACCAACCGCACGACTCGAAATTCAATAAATCTAGAAGCTTTTTTCATAGCAACAAATTAAAATTTGTATGGCCTACGAATTATGTTATAAATATCCAAATGGCCCTTAGCAGAAAAAAGATTCCCCACCCCTGTTTGTGTAACGGTCGTGAGCACAGATTATGATTAAGCCATCAGTGGAAACCAAACCCAGTAGTAAAAGGCACTCAAAACCAACCTCCCATCTAACGAGACTCCCATCTAACGCGACTCCCATGGGTACTGCTCCCATGAGCTACACTTATTGATTCCCCCACCCGTGTTGATGACCGTCTGCCAGACACCGTTTCATCTCATCCACATCGTTCACCACCACCAGACACTGCAGGTCGCCTCAATTATCTTTCTCCTTCTCTCGCCTCATCGTTTTTTCTCTCAAAAGCTCTTTATTCAAGTAGAACTGAATCTTGTTCAAGGAAGTCACCCCCCCCCTATTGGCTAAGCTATGATGGCAATAGTGCAATCTGGCGAGACCGACCGAGTGACGTGAAGTCGGGCACCGCCACTCGTGCTCGCTTACACACCAAGGCGCTGTTGTTGCCGAGCTGCCCTCTGGCCCCCGGGGATTCCTGCTAGCCCAGGGACGGCACTAACCCTGTCTCGGGCGCACTGGTCTTGATGAGCGCCTGCACGGCGCGGAACTTGGGGTGGTCTTTGTCGGCAACGAGTTGCAGCAGCACCGCCTCGCTTGTCGTCACTATCACCCCAGCCCGAGACAGCCTCTGCGAGACAACGCGAACACGCACGGCGGACAGATGTCAATGTGTGTAAGCGCACGGTTACATGGGTGCAAGCAGTTACCCCGACATGCGAACACGCACAAATGCAGAGACCCAACATTTGGGCAACCAGTTACCTAGGGCTGAAGATGTTCAAGAACCTTTTTGGTGGGACACATTAAGATACCAAGGCGTCATCCAATACCAACGCGCGTGCCGAGTGTAAAGAGGCCATTGGAGTGAGTTAGCACTCCAATGGCCTCTTTCACCCCTCTCGCCTTTCCCCACAGGCAGTGTCCCGTTATGCAGTCGGGTAAATCGTGCGTAGCAACGAGCAAAGTGTAGGTCTTCGATGCGCCATCGGGTTCTAAACCACACGCGCACTGTTTGGCGCGACATTCGACGTTTCGCTCCACGTGCCGGAAGGAGCTTCTTCGGTCACGGCACGTCGAGTGACACGCGGTTACAACCCGAGACCCAATGGGAGAACCGCAACGTGTCGCATCGCGCGCTCTCCCTTTACGATGGCGGCGGCAGCCGACGTGCAGTGGGCGACCCGTGGGCGACCTGTGGGCGAGGAGTGGCGCGCAGCGAGAGACCTGCAGCGCGAGCAGCCGGTCAGTCTGGCTGCGTGACGACGTCGCGTCGCCCACCACGTGCACCTCGTAGCCCCTGGCCGTCAGCTCCAGGGCCGTCTGCTGGATGCACACGTGCGTCTGTGACGGGACACGCGCGCACACTGGTAGTGTTAACTTGTATATAGTTACATTCGTGGAGGGAGTTTGGAGAATATACGCAGGTTAATGACATCATCCCGCACCTCCGAAAGAAGTTCAACATACATCACCTCACCACAAGTGATAATCTGGTTTAATCACAGCCTCATCTATGCGAGTCTATCGGTCTCTATATGGGTCGTGTTGATGACTCGGTTACACTTTGTCCTCCGTGTACTTAACGCCTCATTGGCCCTGCTTGGCCGCGAGCAAAATTCAGACGCCTTTTTGTGAGGCCCAGCATAGCACGATTTGGTTTGGCTCGGCACAGCCAAGGGTCCTGCGTTACTAATTTAAACCTTAATAATTGGCTGTGTCGGGTGGTGGCGGGTTTAACGACGCATTTATATATTTACGCGATTTAACCCAAAAAAAACCTCTATTATGGCCCTGCGCTGTTGGCACAGAGCCGATGTGGCCCAGTGGAAAAGGGGTTTACGATTCTCACCTCGACGCCAAAGAGAACCATGCTGCGGACTGCGCCGAGCTCCCCCAGGAGCAGAGCCTCCACCTCGGGCACCAGCATGGAGAAGCGGGTCTTGGGGAGGACCGCCCTGGCGCCAGCGAGGTTCAGCTCCGGTACGGTGCTGCCCAGGCCCTTGGGGTACTGCTCAGTCACCACGACGGGGACGTCCAGCTCCCGCGCGCCCTCCATCTGTGGAGTCGAGTCCAGCGACGTCGAGGGATGGTGGGGAGAGACAGCTCAAGCTGGGCACAGCTCCGACAGCTGCAGGACTCACGACTGCTCAGCATTGCTCAGAACGCGACTGGCATCGCTTATCGCCCTCAGCGTCGCTCGGCACCACTCCAGCATTGCTCGGCACAGCTGAAGAACACTCGGCACCGTTCGGCACCACGAAGTGCGGCACAGCTGAGCACCCACCAGTCTCTGCGCCACCAGCGCGATCTCGCCGAAGAACTTGATGGCAGGGCGGAACCGCTCCTGCATGTCGCAGCAGAAGAACGCGGAGCTGTGCGGCTCCAGCAGCCCCAGAGGTCGAGACGTCTGCGAGTGAACACGAATCACAAGGGAGCAAAACTCGCGCGCACACGCATCGATTCTGCAGCGCTCTCTTAACACGCGTTTGTCATAAAGTATTTCATTGTTCATGGCACAAGACGCGCAGGCAGAACGTGACACACACGAGTTCCCGTAACACACTACCTGTCCCCGTGTGACACACACACCCGTCCCCGTGTGACACACACACACTATCTGTCCCCGTGTGACACACACACACCTGTCCCCGTGCGACACACACACACTACCTGTCCCCGTGTGACACACACTACCTGCTCCGTGTGACACACACACTACCTGTCCCCGTGTGACACACACTACCTGTCCCCGTGTGACACACACCTGTCCCCGTGTGACACACACACTACCAAAGATCCCCCATATAGCCTTAACAGACTGTCGGGGCAAGTGCTGTTAGTGAGCACCTATGAAGGCCGGAACGGTACACGAGGGGGTGGGTGGCCAACACCACGCCCGACCGCCTTTGTCTCCCTAGTGGCAATGTTTACACACCGCACCAGGTACTCATTTGAGGCTGAGTCGACACACACTACCAGTCCCCGTGTGACACACACACCTGTCCCCGTGTGACACACACACCTGTCCCCGTCTGACACACACACTACCTGTCCCCGTGTGACACACACACCTGTCCCCGTGTGACACACACACTACCAGTCCCCGTGTGACACACACTACCTGTCCCCGTGTGACACACACCTGTCCCCGTGTGACACACACCTGTCCCCGTGTGACACACACACTACCAGTCCCCGTGTGACACACACACACACTACCAGTCCCCGTGTGACACACACACACGAGTTCCCGTGACACACACCTGTCCCCGTCTGACACACACTACCTGTCCCTGTGTGACACACACACACCTGTCCCGAGTGGCACACACACACTACCTGCTCCGTGTGACACACACACTACCTGTCGCCGTGTTACACACACACACACTACCTGTCCCCGTGTTGCACACACACACTACCTGTCGCCGTGTTACACACACACACTACCTGTCCCCGTGTTACACACACACACACTACCTGTCGCCGTGTTACACACACACACACACTACCTGTCCCCGTGTTACACACACACACACTACCTGTCGCCGTGTTACACACACACACACTACCTGTCCCCGTGTTGCACACACACACACACTACCTGTCGCCGTGTTACACACACACATACACACACTACCTGTCGCCGTGTTACACACACACACACTACCTGTCGCCGTGTTACACACACACACTACCTGTCCCCGTGTTACACACACACACACACTACCTGTCCCCGTGTTACACACACACACTACCTGTCGCCGTGTGACACACACACACACACTACCTGTCGCCGTGTTACACACACACACACTACCTGTCCCCGTGTGACACACACACACACACTACCTGTCCCCGTGTTGCACACACACACACACTACCTGTCCCCGTGTTACACACACACACTACCTGTCCCCGTGTGACACACACACACACACTACCTGTCGCCGTGTGACACACACACACACACACTACCTGTCCCCGTGTTACACACACACACACTACCTGTCGCCGTGTGACACACACACTACCTGTCTCCCGCCAGACAGAGGCACCGCCCTCAGCCTGCAGGGCGCCTCGATGCTCATCTCGGGGCCCGCGTCCACGAAGCTCCCCCACTGCTCGCTGTAGAGCTGCACGGCGAAGTCCCCGCGCAGCGCCGCCGCCATCGCCTCCTCCCGCTCGCCGGCGAACGCGCGCCGGAACGCGGCCCGCGACTCCTCCAGCCCCGCGCCGCGCGACATCAGCGCGAGCCGAGCCCGGTCACCGACACACAGCAGCACGCTCAGCTGCGAGGACATGGCGAGACGGACGGCTTCACCGCCACACTGCTGCTGCTGCTCACCACTGCCACACTCACTCACTGCTGCTGCTGCTCACCACTTCCACACTCACTCACTGCTGCTGCTCACCACTGCCACACTCACTATTGCTGCTGCTCACCACTGCCACACTCACTATTGCTCCTGCTCACCACTGCCACACTCACTATTGCTCCTGCTCACCACTGCCACACTCACTATTGCTCCTGCTCACCACTGCCACACTCACTATTGCTCCTGCTCACCACTGCCACACTCACTATTGCTCCTGCTCACCACTGGCACACTCACTATTGCTCCTGCTCACCACTGCCACACTCACTATTGCTCCTGCTCACCACAGCCACACTCACTATTGCTCCTGCTCACCACTGCCACACTCACTATTGCTCCTGCTCACCACTGCCACACTCACTATTGCTCCTGCTCACCACTGCCACACTCACTATTGCTCCTGCTCACCACTGCCACACTCACTATTGCTCCTGCTCACCACTGCCACACTCACTATTGCTCCTGCTCACCACTGCCACACTCACTATTGCTCCTGCTCACCACTGCCACACTCACTATTGCTCCTGCTCACCACTGCCACACTCACTATTGCTCCTGCTCACCACTGCCACACTCACTATTGCTCCTGCTCACCACTGCCACACTCACTATTGCTCCTGCTCACCACTGCCACACTCACTATTGCTCCTGCTCACCACTGCCACTCACTATTACTCCTGCTCACCACTGCCACACTCACTATTGCTCCTGCTCACCACTGCCACACTCACTATTGCTACTGCTCACCACTGCCACACTCACTATTGCTCCTGCTCACCACTGCCACACTCACTATTGCTCCTGCTCACCACTGCCACACTCACTATTGCTCCTGCTCACCACTGCCACACTCACTATTGCTCCTGCTCACGGCGACACTCGCTGTTGCTGCTCACCACTCCGACGCTCACTATTATTCCTCACCACTGCTCACCGTGACACTTCTGCCTACTGATCACTCACGCTTGCTGGTTCTCACTGGCGCCTATCCTGCTTACTACGAATACCACTGCTCGCTAGTACTCACTATTCCTCACTGATGCGTCTCACCACTGCGCTCTCCCCACACTGACCCCTCGCTGAGCCTCTGACCCCCGACCCCACCGCGTCACCCACCCACCCACTCACCCTCCCTCCCACAACGCACGTGGGGATGTCGCCGCCACCGCGTGCTTCAAAAACGCTTCCGGGTCGCGCGAGACTCTCGCGAGATCCTGCACCGGCCAAGATGGCGGCGCTGTGTCGGTATTCACAGGTGGCGTGGGGACGGGGTGAGGGTGAGGGGACGGGGTGAGGGTGAGGGGTGAGGGTGAGGGGACGGGGTGAGGGGTGAGGGTGAGGGGACGGGGTGAGGGGTGAGGGTGAGGGGACGGGGTGAGGGGTGAGGGTGAGGGGACGGGGTGAGGGGTGAGGGTGAGGGGACGGGGTGAGGGGACGGGGTGAGGGTGAGGGTGAGGGGACGGGGGGACGGGGTGAGGGGACGGGGTGAGGGTGAGGGGCGAGGGGGGCGGGGTGAGGGTGAGGGGACGGGGTGACGGGGTGAGGGGACGGGGTGAGGGGACGGGGTGAGGGTGAGGGGCGAGGGGGCGGGGTGAGGGTGAGGGGACGGGGTGAGGGTGAGGGGACGGGGTGAGGGTGAGGGGACGGGGTGAGGGGCGAGGGGACGGGGTGAGGGGCGAGGGGACGGGGTGAGGGGCGAGGGGACGGGGTGAGGGGCGAGGGGACAGGGTGAGGGGACGGGGTCAGGGGCCGCGGTGAGGGGCGAGGGGGCGGGGTGAGGGGACGGGGTGAGGGTGAGGGGACGGGGTGAGGGGACGGGGACGGGGTGAGGGGACGGGGTGAGGGGCGAGGAGACGGGGCGAGGGTGAGGAGCGAGGGAACGGGATGAGGGTGAGGAGCGAGGGTGCAGGGTGAGGAGGCGGGGTGAGAGGTGATGTAAGGTGAGGGGACGTGATGAGGGGGTGGCGACAGGGTGAGGCGGGGTGATGTGAGGGTGAGTAGACCGGGCGAGGAGCTATAGTGAGACGATAGAGGGTGATCGGCGAAAGGTGAGTGGTGAGGGGAATAAGGTGAGATGGGTGAGGAGATGGGTGAGGAGACAGGGGGGTATGAGAGGTGAGGGTCAGTGAGTGAGGGGATAAGGGCGAGTGAGGGGGTGAGTGAGGGGATAAGGGTGAGTGAGGGGATAAGGGTGAGTGAGGGGATAAGGGTGAGTGAGGGGGTGAGTGAGGGGATAAGGGTGAGTGAGGGGATAAGGGTGAGTGAGGGGGTGAGTGAGGGGGTGAGTGAGGGGATAAGGGTGAGTGAGGGGGTGAGTGAGGGGATAAGGGTGATGTGAGGCTGTGTCAGAAGCTGAAGCGAGTGGGTGGGAACCGGGGCGAAAGTGAGGAATGCGTTGACTGCGGTTTAAGGTGAAGGTTAAGAGTGATGCCTCGGGGGTGATGATGGGGCGGGGTGAGGGTTGGGGTTTATAGGGAGGAGTGTGGGTGAGGTTGGTGAGTCGGCCTCACCGACTCACCAGGGGGGGAGGGGGGGGGGTGAGGTTAAATCTACGACAGCACGGGGTCACGGACTCTCTGGGAGACTTGAGTGGTTCGCGCGCCGCGCTACGAACCCGGCGACTTTGGTTCGATTCTCGCTCGTGGCCAACATCGGTGGCGAATATCTGACCCGCTCCTTGGCCTCTCATAGATCGCCAAAGCCTTGAGTGCAGTGTAAAAAAACATAAAACATCAGCACTGGGTGAGAGAAAGGCGGCCAGGCGTGGTGTTGCCCCCGACCGCTCCCCACCACCTCGTGCGCGGTGCCGACTACGGACTCACGAGCAGCACTTGCCCCCCAACAGTCCTTGTGAGCTTCACGGGGAGGGGTGGAGGGCTCAAGAGCCGCATGGCTCACAGGGCTATACCTAATAATTGAACTGAACTGACCCTGTCTTTCTTGCAGCAGTGCGTGTACAGGAGACGGCTTCAGGCGTTGCCCAGCCTCTGCGCCACCGCCGCAGACCGATGTGGGCACAAGCCGGCGGCGCTCGCCCCGGTGCTCCAGCACGCGCAGGTGAGGGCAGCCGCGGTCCCCGCGATCACTTTCAGAGGGGGGTGCGGGGGGGGTTGCGCGCGGCCACTTTCGCCGATGAGACATCATTATCAGTGTGAGGGCCGCCACACATTTGAAACCATTGGGGGGTTGACAGCAGCACGTTGATGGTGATGATGGGAGGGGTGGGGTGTTTTCACATGTTGTGTATTGTCGGGGACCGCACGTCCAGGGGCCGCACTAAAGGCCGGCATGGGTTTGATAATTGAACTTGCTTAATAGCGGCGAGATATCACCCCCAGTGACGAGCTCGCATCTGGTTCCAATTCCAAATGGCACGCATGGTAGAGCCGAAACAGACTGAGAGTGGATTTTGGCAGATGCAACTCTCTCGGATGCAACACGACCGACCAATGCGCTAGCGAGGAGAGGCAAACCCACATGGATCTTCTCCCTGAAATGTCCTGCAGCACCATAGTGCGCTCCTCAAGATTTGGCAATGCCAACACCAGAAGCCTGTGCAGAATATTGGGAAAAGACCAATATAGGTTGGACAGGAGACACGACAAAGAAGAAGATTGGATGGTTTCATATGTTGTCGAGAATGGAGGATCCATTACACACGTTATTTAATACATTGCCGATAATTAAGGATATATGAATAAGTTAAATTAACTGCTTTCACATTGACATCTGTCAAGTGCAGGAGAGAGTGACTGGGTGCGTGTACTTTTGTGTGCCCTATGCTTGGTCAATGCACTTGTCTGTCGTGTACCTGAGTGCAGAGTCCTCGTGTGCTAAGCACCTTTGCGCCACGTGCTTGTTGTTACGTGTACTGCCGTGTGCTTGGTTGATGCTCTCGGCTGCGGTTCTGCCCTGCCACAGGGGAACGCGTACTCCACCGGAGGGAGGAAGGGATTCTTGTCGGAGTTTTTTGACAACATTAAGCAGGAAATGACAAAGAACAAAGAAATGAAGGAGAGTCTCAAAAAGTTCCGGGAAGAGGCGAAACGACTCGAGGAGTCTGACGCCCTGCAACAGGCGAGGAGGAAATACGTGAGTATGAATTACGCACGCCGCACAGGCACCGCAAACACACAGGCACACTCACACTGCACAGAGACGCATGGAAACCACAAGCATATGGACACACACCACACAGACATGCAAATAACACACAGAATCACGGACATCACAAACGGACACCATGGGGACATACATACACACACATGCAAATAACACAGACACATGGAGACCACAAACACACGGACACTGTGGGCACATAATACTCACACAGGCACCACACACACACATGCAAGAAACACACGGACATCATGAACACACAGGCACCATAAATATGCACACACCACAGACAGACACACACAAACAGATATCATGAATACGCAAACATCGGAAAACAACCACACAGACACTGTGACATGCTCACCGCAGGTTCTGCGGTGAGCGAGAACTGTCAATTCCACTGTTCTGTCCGCCACTGCCTGCCGTTTCTGTCCATCTAGAAAACAATCGAATCGGAGACGTTGAAGACGTCTGAAAAGCTTAAGAAGAAGATGGAAGAGCTGTCGGACACCGTGAAGGAGGTGCGAGGCGAGCCGGGATGACGTGCTGTGTCGATTTGTCGACTCAAAGCTAGAATCGACACCTTGTTTGTGGTGGATCATTCAGCGTCTTTCACCAACTGTTGGCATGTTATTAGGTTCGCCTGTTTGTGTGTGTAATGTGTGTCGATGTATGTATGTTGAACTTCTTTCACTCCGTACGTAGCCAACCGTGTCAATCGGATGAGTGGGGGAAGGACAACAAACTAAAGACCAAAGGAAATTAGTTTTCAATCTAAATGTAAAAGTGCATAGCTCCAGTGGCTTCCTAATATGGGAAGGAAGAACATTCCAGACGGCGGAAGAAGTGCATCTGAAAGTTCACGATATGCAGTGACCATCTTTGTTCAATGGCTAGCCTTGTGTGTATCTTGTGTCTTGTGTATATG